AACACTCGTAAATGAATGTTCATAGCAGCATTATCCGTAATAGCCAAAAGGTAGGAGCAACCCAAAGTCCATCAGTTGATGAATGGATAAACAAAATGTTGTCTATCCATACAACAGAATATCATTCAGCCCTAAAAAGGAATGAAGCACTGATAAAAACTAAATATGATGAACCTTGGAAACATGCTGTGTAGAGAAGGCGGTCACAAAGAGCCACATATGGTGTGATTCCAGTGATATGAAATGTCCAAAATAGGCAAATCTATATAGAGCCAGAAAGTAGATTGCCTAGGGCTAGAGGGGTTGCGGGGAAATGGGAGTGACTGCTATAGGTATGGAGTTTCTTTCTGAGGTGATGGAAATGTTCTAAAATTGATTGTGATGATTGGTTGTACAACTCTATGATATACTAAAAACAAGGAAGATCTGTATTTTAAGACATTGCTCGGTGTAAAAATCATGTTTCAGAATAGTAGGTATAATATGCTCCTCTATTTATAAGAAATATATATGGAGAGAGTGCTATTATTATAAACATAAAAGAAGGTCTGAGATGGTATACACCAAGTGGTTCACAGGGGTTACCTGTAGATGGTCACATTTGTGGATGGGAGGCTTTCACGTTTTATTTTATATGCTTTTAGCACTTGCCTTTTTACTACAAATATGACCTGCTTTTGACATTTTTGAACAAGAAGGAAGGTAAAAGCACGTGGGGGCCCCACTGAAAGCTAGTGAATCAGACCCTAGAGCCCCCTTGCATCACGTCAAAAGAAAGGGGGGCCCAGGAAGTCACGGAGGGAAACAGGAGATGGTTACACGGGTTCTGGAATGTCAGAGCTGTGGTGGAGTGGTCTTCTCGGAGGGAGAGCAGGACATCAAAGCCTGGGCCCTTCTCCCTCTGATCCCAGACAGGGCTGGGAGCCTACCCTGGGACAGAAATTATTTACGTATTGCCTAGGTGAAAGATTCACACATAGTGAACAGGGTCCAAAATGCAAAAAGTACAGCAAGTACACTATACTGCTGCCTCCCTCCCCCCAGCTCGCCTCCCAAAGCAACCAGAGGCCTCTAACTCATCTACACAGTTGGACATTACACACACAGTTCTTTTACTGTATACAAAAAGCCACCTCTTCATTGTAGAGCTTCACAGTACCCCACGATGTTACACGGGTGGCCATGTTCTACTAACAGGCCCCAATTAACGGACATTTAGATGGCTTCTGAGCACTTGCTTTTACAGGTCTACAGTCTCTTACCCAAACCATTGAAAATCTTTTAGAATCCAGAATATATTTATATTTAGAAAGGCAATTCAGTGCATATTCCATATATTATGAAACACCCTAGTAGGATCTAAGGCAGCGCCGTGCAATCAAACACATTAATATTTCCATTGCAAACATGTATGATAAATGGAACTAATAAAGACTATAAACGGTCTTGGCAGGTTTTGTTACCAAATGAGTTTATGCCAATCTAATGGGAAGACTCCCAAGTTTCAGAACTTTTTGGCTTTCGGAATTGCAGATGAGGCTTTGCAGAGTTCAAAGAATGCTGCCATGAATAACTTGGGACACGTATAATTTTGCAAGTTTACAAGTATATCCATAGGATACATTTCTAGGAGTGGAGGCTCTGTTCATTTGTGATTTTCATAGGTTTTGTTAGAATAGTGACCATTTACCTTCCTTGCCTGTAAGCTGCTGTACTTTATGGTTTTCCAAACACTTGTACTTTTGTCTGTTAATTTTGGGGGCAATGAAAATTCTTCCTCCCTCCCTCTCTGCACAAAGCTAGACTTAGAGTCTCTGGGAGCCAGGGGAGCCAAGAGAGCCTGAGCTGTGCTGTCAGAGACAGCAGGACCACCCCCTTCCACCAGTGGAAGCCTGAGCAAATTTCCAGTATCCATCCTGAGCTTCCATATCCTTTTCTGTAGACAATCTGCCTCCATGACAGTCCCTCCCCACTTTCCCACCAACCTGCTCTCTTCCCTCCTGTCTACCCCCAGCCCCAGGGCCTGGGCTTTGCCCTCTCTCCCCAATGAAAAAGAGTCCAGGCCAACAGAAAGAAAGGTCCACAGGCTTTTTAATGGTGTGATGGCTACTTCCCTTCCGAGACCCGATCTAATCATGACAGGGGCTTCCAGGGGGTGGGGGTGAGGGGTGGACAGGTGCAAGGTGGGCAGAGGCCATGCAGTGACTAGGAGGGGTGGGGGAGGGTGTTACATTCTTTTTGGCATGTAAACATTCTTCAGTGGCTTCCCCAGGGGGAGGGTAAGGGCACCTCTCTGCCCCCTACCCCATGGCCACCAGGGCTGGTCCCCGGAGCTGAGAAGACTGAGCAAGCCAGGCCCCTGCGAGGAGCTGGGAAGGGGGCAGCCCACGTGTTCGGGGCCCGGCTCCTCGCCTGCACCTTCTTCGTGCACAGTGCGGCTGGGGAGGGGAGGCATGTTTTGGGGTGAGCAGACCTGCATCCGAGCCAGTGACACAGGCTGTGGTGATGAGGAAATGCTGGAGGGGCGTGGTGGTGGTGGTGTGACACTCTTTTATAGAGAAGGCGCTCAGGACTGGGAAGGCTTGGTGGCAGGGAATGGGTGCCCAAGGGGGAAGAGGCTGCAGCTGGGGGTGGGGGCACTGGAAGGTGTGGTTTCCTCTGCCCTGGATGCTTCTGAGGGAGAAGAGCAGAGTCAGTCCCCAGCCCCCTCGCACACTCGCCCTTTCCTCGCCTCCCCCCACCTCAGTGACTTTCAATGAGGCAGAGGCCTGAGGTCAGTTGGGAGCCCTAGGGGGGTCCGGAATCCCAAAGGCAGACAGGGTTTTGTGTCTCTGCCCAGCTCCAGTGCTGGGTGAAGCTAGAGGGTGGGATGGGCCTGGGGCTCTCTCAGGCCGCCCCCTTTTCCCTCCCAACACCAAACCAGGGTGTTGTTGGTCCTGGGGCAGGGGTGAGGCTGAGGGCCCTACATTCACAGTTCGGTTGGTGGCAAGGAGCAGGCCCAGGGCCTGGGCACCAGGGGTCATGCCCGGGTCCCCACCTGGCACGAGCTGATTGTCATTCGGAGAAGCTCTAGGTGGGAGGGAGTGGCCCTTCCTCCACCCCCTCTGCTGGATCCAGAGGGCAGCAGAGGCCTTGGGAGGGTCTCGGGTTGACAAAGAGGGCTCTGTCCGGAGAGGTTTCCTGAGTGTTCTGGGAGCTTCTGCGTCAGCATAGGGTGAATCTCGAAGGCCATCCACCCTGGAGTCCTCCCCTGGGCTGGTCTGCAGAGAAACCACCACCTTGGCATAGAAGCAGCTGCCCAAGCTGCCGACTCTCCATCAGGGGCTTCAGCTGGCACCACCAGGCTTCTCTCGGGGCAAATTTCCTCATGGGCATCCTTCTGAGTGATGGTGGCTGGATGCTGCCAGATCACTGGGGCAGGCTGGGACCTTTCTTCCTCTTCCCTTCGTTGTCTTGTCTTGCTCTCTATGACCCAGGGAAGAACAGAGGGGCCAGGCCAGGGGGCAGAGGCTGTGTGTGCTGAGGATGGAGAAGGCCTGCAGGGGACCTGTCCCAGATAGGCAGGGTTGGCCATCCCTTCTGCAGCCCCTTGGCCCAGATGTAGGCAGTTGAGGCTGATGATGAGTTGGGATGAACTATGCAGGAGCCAGACCCAGGAGGAGGCCCCATATCCATTCATGGAGCAGCAGAGGCCTCACCCGCTGCAGGGACTGCTCAGCCGCATGGGTTGGGATTAGGACAAGAGGGGACAGGCTGAAGGGTGAGCTGGAGGCGGAGGGGACTGGGGCTGGACCTATCACACAAGCATACCATCTGGAAGTTAAAAGGGCCTTTCTGCCTTGGGTCCAGGGGCCAGCTGTCTGTCTGCCTATTTCTGCTCTCTCTCCCACTGGGGGAGATGATGGTCTGATCCAGCCTACTCCCCACAGGCAGGAGGACAGGGAGGGTGACCCAGCTAGAACTGAGTCCCTGAATCTCCAAAGGGCCAGTGCAGAGAAGATGATAACTAGCCATTCTCCACCTCCACTGAATTCAGGAGAGAGAGAAGTTGGCTGAAACCGCAGTAGGCAACATTGAGGTTAGATGGCAAGAAGGAATTCCTGATGGTGAGGGATCCTGAGCACTAGATCCGGGGACAAAGGGAAGGGGTGAAACCTTTTTTAAAGCCCCCCTCCAACTTCCCATTGGGAAACACTTGCCCAGGAAGGCAGCCCACACACACTTGATGGTTCCCACTGAGGTCCCACACAAACTAAGGGGGAGGGGGCCTTTGCACCCTAGAGGCGCAAGGGCGCACCCTTCCCCCATCACCTGTCCACTGCCTCCTACAGGGGTGTCCAGGATGGTACTGACTTTGGGGCAGGTCAGACCTGCCCCCTCACACCACAGTAGACCAATGGCTCCTAGGTCTCACCTCCCCAACCCCCGTCTGGCAGCTGAGAAGAGCCATTTCCAACCACCACAGCTCCCAGGAGACGTGAGATTAACCCCTAGTGGGAGGCTGGAGCCTCCACTTCTGGAATTTGAGGCTGCCTTTCCGAAAGGATTGGGGCGTGTAGCTTTGGCTGGAAGAGGGTCAGGAGAAGGGAAAGGCGCCGCAGGATGTGTAAGCAGAGTTCCCTGGGGGGGCTTGGAGAGCAGCAGAGGCCTGGTGGTTAGCAGGGCGTCCCCAGTCGTGGAGTCCTTGGTGAAGAGTCGCTGAGCCTTCCCCGGGGCGTAGGGTGAGCCTGCCCCACCTGAAGGGCAGCAGGGGGAGGGGCGGAAACGGGGAAGGATGGGGAGGCGGACACTCCCCCCGCGGCGCCGCGTCCCCTTCCGCAGGGCCGGCGGGTGGGCGCGGCGTGTGCTGGCGCGCGTCCTCGCGGGTGCAGGTAGGAAGCTGGGGCCGCGGGTGGCGCGCGTCAGGCGCGTAAGGCTGTGCTGGGAGCTGTTCCAGTGTGGCCGGCTGCAGGTGGGGGGCCGGGGTGAGGGTGAGGGGCCACGGAGCGCCGCGCGCGTCATTATCTGGCCCCAGCCCGACCCTCCGCAACCCCCGCCCGGCCTTTGGTTGCGCGCTGAGTCTGGAGTTTCCCTCTGGGTCCTTTCTTGGTGGCCCCCGGGGAGGGGGTGACTTCAGGCTGGGCCCGGGCCTGCGGGGCGCCCCGGGGTGGGGGGGCCCCCGGCCGGGCCTGGTGCGAGGGAGAGGGGCTCTCTTTGCGGGACAGGGACCGGCTCCGGGGGGAGACGCTGGAATGGTGCGCGGAGGAGGCAGGGAGGCCAGGACTGCGCGGGGCTGGGGGCCTGGTGCGGGCTTGGGCTCGCCCTGGGCCCGGGCCACGGCCGGGGGGCTGTTTGGGACGGAGGTCAGCAGCAATGGCCGTCCCTGGGGGCTTCTGCAGATGGAGCCTGCGGGAGGTGCGGAGGGCAGAAGGCAAGAGACAAGAGGAGGGCAAAGAAACAAAAAGACATTTTCAGAATCTCCCTGGGCACTGAGCTCCAGAGTCCTGCATCCTCAGAACTGGATGAAACTGAGGAGACCTTGGCACAGATGGATAAACTGAGGCATGGTGCCCCATCCTCCAGAACGGGACCTCTAAGGGCCACACACTCCCCGGCTGCTACCAAAAGAGCTTGCTCCAGGCTTTCTCTGATGTCTCTGTTTTATCTTTAAAATTCGCATGGATTTTACATTCTACTCTATTATATACCCATGTTTATATTAACATGAATAATGTTTTCTCCCAACTATTCTGGCCTTTATCCTTTGGCCTCAAATGCCCCATGGCACACCAGAGGCTGTGTGTGGACCCCACTGGCCCCCATCAACCTTTTCCCAAGCCTGGCCTCCTTGGAACCCCTCCAGACACACTCACTGCAGCCACTCCCTTGAGCCCAGTGAGAGGGCTGGGACCTGAGTCAGAAGAGACACTTAGTTAGGGAGGTGGTGGACAGGGGGTGTGGCTGAGGGTCCTTCCTGAATTATCAATAGCCCTTGGCTCCAGGGAAGCGTCTGCTGGTGGAGGCCTTCTGTAGTCACCCTCTGCCTGCCCTGGGACTAGCAGCAGTTTCTCACCTGCTGGTGATGGCTGTGTCAGATGCTGGGGCTGCGCCTTGGGGTCTGTCAGGGGGCTGCTGGGCTGCAGCAGGCGTGGGCATGCGGATGCTGATGGGGCGGGGGATCCGGCTCCGGGTGGCAGCTGCCCGCCCGGCTTTCCTGGACACCGCGGGCTCAGAGGCAGGCGTGTCCTCCTCGGAGCCTGTGCCTGAGAGCGTCTCAGAGGCACGGCGCTGCTCCTCACTGGAAGAGGATGAGGCCCCAGAGGCCAGGCGCAACAGCAGGCGGCCCTGCCTCTTCTCCATCACCAGCCGCGCCAGGTCCTGCTGTGGTCGGGCCCTCTTGCCCCACCGCTCTTTGGCCGACAGTGAGCCTGAGGGCTCCGAGCCTGTGTCCTCCTCAGACAGCAGGACAGGGATTCGGCTCCTGGGGCGAGGGCCTGGCATGGCATGGCGACTGGGGGAGATGGTGGCCAGTTTCTCGGGACCCGGCTCCAGCAGGGACGCCGGGGCTGGCCCATCGGCAAGGGCTGGGCCATTGGGCAGTGAGTCTGTGGTCACCTCCAAGGGGCTGCTCCCGGGGGGCGCGGACAGGACACAGCTCACCAGCCCTGCTAGGGCAATGCCGTTCTCCAGGTACACGGAGGCCCCCTCTTCCACAGCCCTTCCATCAGAGGGCACCTCCAGGCCCAGCTCCCCCCCAGCGCTGAGCTCCTCAGACCGGGAGGCTTGTCCACCAGAAGACATGACATTAAGGTGGGTTTTCTCTGCAATGTGCACAAAGGTCCTCTCGACTTTGGTGAAGGGCGAGGAGGTGACTGCCACTCCCCCTGCCCCTATGGTCACTGCCCCAGCCCCCGGCCCTGTCCCGGTCCCGGGGGGCTTGGGCTCAGACTTGAGGACAGAGGACAGGGTGCCTGGCTCAGAGACGTCCAGCTGGCTGCCAGTGGGCTGGGGCCGTTCGTGCTGAGGAGTGAGGGCAGCCAGAGTGCCCAGGTCAGGGTCGGGGGCCAGGTCGGCAGTGACAGGCGACTTCTTCATGTCGCCAGGGGAGACGAGCACCAGCGTTTTGGAGCCCTCCTCAGGCTCCAGGTCCCCGTCAGCCATGGAGGCTCGGCCCCTGGACTCTTTCTGATCATCGGCCAGCAGCGTGGACGGGGCGCCCTCCTGGCTCCTGTCCGTGCTCCTCTCGCTGCCCTCACTGCTGGAGCCACTGTGTGGCCCCAGCGCCTCCCCCAGGGCCCCTGCCTCCTCCTCCTCCTCCTCCTCCTCCTC